GAAAAAGCAAGAACATCAGCCTGACATTACCCATTCCCATAGCTACCTAGTGTTGCAAAATTTGGACCATGAAAAACTAGACAGAAAAATTGACTTGTTTGAGTTGTAGTGTTGAAGAAGGTTCCAGTTCATTTCTTGATCAGCAAAGGGGACAAACAAGCAAGTAACAGAGCATACAAAATCAGATATATTACTGGAAGGCAAAAATCACAAAATTCCACCTTACTTATTTTGGCCATGTCAGGTGATCAAACTCATTAGAAAAAGGCATTTATGCTCAGCAGTAAAAGGAAATAAGGGCAACAAGAACAGTGACTGGACACCCTGAATGCTGAAACCAGTCACGGCATAAAACTGAAGTAAACCATACAAAATCAGAAAATGTGGAGAGAGATAGTCTATAGAATTGCCAAGAATTGGACATAATTAAACAAATACCATCATCATCATCAATCTTCTATATGGTCCTAGTCATATAGATTCATACCTGGGTGCAAATCCACCAGACAAGGAAATTTACTTCTAAGGTGAGGTAATCTTAAGGCTTCTATTCTAAACACAATTGCTAGAAAGTAATTTTTAGTATTACAAATGAAATTTAATAGATGCTTAGAGAATAATTGCATTGACTGTGACTACTAGATTTGAACTGCTTCCAACCACTGGATGGAAGCAAAGAAATAGGGAAATTCCAAAATGCACCCTAAAGTGGTTCTCTCCCGTGCTGCTCCTGCCAACTTCAGAAACTCAGATCTGGGTTGCAATTGGTGGACAACGGGGCCAGGCTGGTAGCCAAGCCACACTACAGAGCTAATTGGTATTCCTCCTGTTCCTGACTCTTCCCCACTAGATTGAGATGGCAAACCTCAGTGGCTAGCTTCTATGTGGAATCGTCTATCAGTTCCTGCCTTTTCCTTCCTTCAGGTATTGTTCCCTTGTCATTATTTCTTGAACCTTTCCTTTCCCTTATATTTACATACATGGATGCGTTTACACACACCAGGAGAGGGGGGAGATGGAGAGAGAGAGAGACAGAGAGACAGAGGGAGACAGAGAGAGAAATAGAGAGAAACAGAGAGAGAAAGAGACCGAGAGAGGGGGATCTAGCCCTCTCATATTACATCTTTTAACATTTACACAGACTGTTTCTATTTTTAATCCCTTTTGGTACCCTTGTGATTCCAACACTACAATAATCAAAAGTAATAAGGAACAGGATGTTCTTTCGTTTCCGCTTTCCTCTGTAGGTCTCCGGAAACTTCATAGCAATGTTGAGCTGATTGTTTAGCTTCATAGAAACAAAGTTCTAGTGTTCCTATTTCTAATGTAAAAAAAAATAAAAATAAAAGGAAGGCAATAGAAGTTTTATAGTACAGATAGACTTCAATCTATGGCCTACTGATTCAACTACTGATTGAAGTTGCAATGCTGCTGAACAAATGATAGTTACAACCAGTCCTCAAAGTTCCAGCCTTCCCAGCACCCCATGGTCTCTTGGTTGCAATCTGGGCATTTTTTTTAAATTTTGTCAAGCGATTATTAGATAACAGGTATAAGTATAAACATGGTTATGAATACATGAAATGGATACATATAAGAAAAATAAAGAAACAATAGGACAGGGACAGTAGGCACGTTGGTGCACTTATGCACGCCCCCTACAGATCTCTTAGGAAAGGGATGAGGTCAATAGTAGACAGTCTAAGGTTAAAGTTTTTGGGGTTTGGGGAAGAAACCACGGAGACAGGTAGAGTATTCCAGACATTAACCACTCTGTTGCTGAAGTCGTATTTCCTGCCATCAAGTTTGGTGCGGTTTACCTTGAGTTTGTATTTATTGTGTGCTCTTGTATCGTTGTGGTTGAAGCTGAAGTATTCATTGACAGGTAGGACATTGCAATGTATGATTTTATATATTATACTTAGATCAGACCGAAGGCGGCGTAGTTCTAGGTTTTCTAGGTCTAGAATTTCAAGTCTGGTGGCATAAGGTTTTCTGCAATGAGTAGAGGAGTGGAGAACTCTTCTTGTGAAATATTTCTCGACTTTCTCAATTGTATTAATATCAGATATGTAATGCAGGTTCCAGACTGATGAGCTGTATTCAAGTATTGGTCTAGCAAACGTTTTGTATGCTCTAGTTAGCAGAGTGATATTATCAGAGAAAAAGCTACGCAGGATTAGGTTTACAACTCTTAATGCCTTTTTGGCTATGTAGCAACCTGTTTTCACTTATGACCCATTACCAACTGTGCTAGGCAGGAGGACAGTTCAGTTTTTCTAGGCCAGAACTGCACAATTTTTCCTCAACCCATCAGTAACCTACCCACAAAGAAAACATCTGCCCATCTTTGTTACTTCGATGTCAACAGTAGTATTTTCTCACTTCTGCCAGGATAAGCTGTGCCAAGCAGTCCACATGCTGTGCTTCACTTTGTTATAGGTGATGCCTTTTCTCCAAACAGCTATTGTTTGATGAGCATGCCCCCTCCCCTTTGAATTTGGATGCAGCCCTCTGTGTCAATCATCTGGGTTACCAAGCTGCTTGCTCCCCCCTCCCACTTCATAAGGAACATTTTCGTACTAAACTGCCTTTTTCTCCACTGATAAAATGGTGGGGTTTTTTTAATGTTCACTGATGGTGGATTGAAACATTGGACATTGCTTTTCCTTTTCCTTTTAATATTCCTATGTAAGTGCTGAAGCTACTTGCTACCATCATTCCCCTGTACAAATTGTCAAATAAGAACATTTGGGAGCTGGGTGAAATTGACAAGAGTTCACTGTACTTCTTTTAGAACAGGTGACTGAAAGGACTAAGAAATGGTGTGTTTCCCCTTGGTGAAATGCCAAGAATAGGAAAACAATTCCTATACTGAGCCTGGGATTGGAGTAGATGACTTCTAAAATCCATTCCAACTATATAACTGTGGTTCTATGATGTTAGTCATTGTTTGCTCATGCAAATGGAAACCATATATCCTCAAAGATCCATCCACAGAAAGAAAAGTGATCAGTCCTTATTTTTGCAGCATGTATGGGAGAGGCAAATAAGTATGGGATACCAATCAGAGGCCATAGATCCATGATGGCGAACCTATGCCATGTGTGCCGGAAGCGGCATGCAGAGCCATCTCTCCAGGGACTCAAGCCATCACCCGTTGTTCTTCCTGGTTCCGGTGTGCCAGCCAGCTGGTCTTCACATGCATGGGAGCGCTGGAAAGCAGAACAGCAGCTGCCCGGTGCACATGTGCGTGCTAGGCAGCTGCTCTTCTGTTTTCCAGCATGCGCATGTGCACTGGCCACCTGGTCTTCCGGTTTCTGGCGTGCATGCATGCATGAAGACCAGGTGGCTGGTGCACATGTGCGTGCCAGAAACCAGAAGATCATCTTCCCGGCGTGCACATGTGCACCAGGCGGCTGCTCTTCCAGTTTCTGGTGCACTCATGTGCACCAGCCAGCTGGTCTTCGTGCATGCATACGTGCCAGAAACTAAAAGACCAGGTGGCCAGTGTGCATGCTGGAAACCAGAAAAGCAGCCACCTGGTGCATGCATGTGCCCCAGGCGTCTGCTCTTCCGGTTGCTCTTGTTTCGGCACTTGGTACCAAAAAGATTCACCAACACTGCCATAGACTATGCCATCAAAATAGAATATCTGGGCAACAAAATTGCTTGAAATTCAGACACCAAATTTTTAAGCGAATAGCTCCATATGCAAGTAGATTAAAGACTGCTGGGAAGAACTGCCTTAAGAACTTTACAGGAAATAATGTAGCAAAACAATTTACATTCCTTTCATAGGCTAGTTTATTATACAATTGAAAAAGAAATATTTTCTACAGAGTTTATATTGAATATTATTCACAATAATAATGGATAAAATATTCCAAACTTCCTAACAACTCTATAAACTCACATAAAGTGCCTTCCACTGAAACATTCATGGATACAATATTGAATGAATTCATAAAAATTGTGCTGAAAAGCCCTCTTCGTGTCCAGCAGTGTTTCTTAACCTTGACAACTTTAAAATTCTTTGCTGGCTGGTAAATCCTGGAAGTGGAAGTTCATACATGTTAAAGTTGCCAAGGTTGAGAAACACTGATTTAAAGTATGGTCTAGTAGTGTATCTAGGAAATTTTTATCCTTTGAGCTATTAAATCACACTTGCTTTAAGAGATGAGAACTAGGGAAGATAAAATGTCCACTACCCATACTTCCAGTTGCTCTGTATGAATTACATAATTCATGGGTTTGAGAATGAGGCACATGGGTGGCTTTATGAACATAGCATAATCAGGGCTCAATATATTTTAAATTAGATTCCATACCAATCAAAAGGGGGCAAGAAAAATATTCTCTTCCTCTATCACTCTGATAGTTCCAAAAACTCACACTTGTTGATTGGCTCCAATAACATCCTCTCTATTTTATAGTGAAATCAGATAAAGAATTAGGATAATCGAAATATATCTGTAGTGTGAGTTCTTGGTGTCTTGGTATTCACATCTCCCAATTTCTCCAGGAGCAACATTCTTGCATGATGTGCTTTCCATTTTTATTTCTTGTAGAGTCACATTCTAGAATTCTATTAAGTAAAAAACCAAGACCTCCTGTTTCATTTAGCCTCTTAGGATATAGTCAACCACCGACTGCTTAGCCAAAAATACCACGTGCCTAGAAGGGCACTGTAAGGTAGATTTCAGTTTCTTCAGTGTAGGAGGAGATAGACTTAGACAGTGCTGCCTGCAGTATAACAGTTAATAATTTTATTTCAAGAAAACCAAGTGGGAAATATGTGTTGCATACAAAAAACTGCCATGTAGCTATATTACTTAAAACTATAAATCAAAGGAGTTTTAAAAATAATTTTAAAAATAGCATACCAATACTAATCACTATTTCATGAAACTTCTGTCTAAATACAAATAATTAAACAGAACAGATAACTTGGAGAGTGTCCTTTAAAATATATTATGTTTAGAATGTATCCTCCCTTCACAGATATAAAATCAATCAATCACTCTGAAATTCATATTAAGCCTTTAAATATACATTTTCCACCTCCTCTTACAAAGTCAGTTCCTTTGTTGTTGCTGTTGTTCATAGTATACCAAGCAATGTTCCAGAAGTCATACTTGAGAGAAACCTTTTGCAGGCCAAAACATGGGTCTTTTAGGTTTTTCATTTTCCTGTTTAAAAAGGGAAACAAACATGTGAATTGCATAAACATCTCATCTTTTTCATAATTATTTATTTTCTTTTACATTTAATATTTATAACCCTGCAACTCAAACATATCCTGATTTATTCAACAGTTTCTTCACAATGAAGCTGTGGGTGTACCTGAATAATGGAGACATTATGATAATATATGGAAAGGAGCACCCTCATCTGAACGGTATTTGGGAATATATTCTCAAACACATCAATTCTGTACCAACAGTTTTGAACAGAACTAGCTTTATGGCCATTTAGCTATGAGGGGAGTTTGCTCTTGAATTCTTACAGCATGTCTCCGTCTTCTTTTAGGCTGGATACACTCTTGCCTATATGAAGGCCACTGCAATCCTTCAGGGGTTGCTTGACTATTCTCATGTTCCACATCTTCTAAATCAGAATCATCTTGTTGTACCAAGGGAAACCTTCTCTCTGGATAAATTTCCTTGAGTTTACTTTCAAAGAATATTTCCAGGCACCTTCCAGCCTCAGCAACTTCTGAATCAGGCTGCAAAAGAAACGCCATAATTAATTAGGTCATAATGTTGTTTAGGATAATAAATCTCTATTATTTTATCTATTAAGGTTATTTGTTTTTCAAAACTAAATCACTTTACAGTAACATATATAGTTCTAGCAAAAGCACTTAGACTTACTTATATACCACTCCACAGTGCTTTACATCCCTCTCTAAGCAGTTTACAGAGTCAGCATCTTGCCCACAACAATCTGAGTCCTCATTTTACCAACCTCGGAAGGATGGGAGGCTGAGTCAACCTTGAGCTGGTGAGGATCAAACTCCTGGCAGTCAGCAGGATTAGCTTACAATACTGCATTCTAAGCACTGTGCCACCAGGGCTCATATATAAAGCCAAAATATTCATTGCAACATACACTAAGAAAAATGGTCCACAGCAATAGCATGTCAAAATAAACAATACTATATATTAGTATAATATATATAGTAGGACTTCAGTACCATCATTAATTGGTTCCAGGAGGCATGCTAATACCAAAACCGATGAGTACTAAACAAGTTTTCCCCATAATGAATAATGTAATGAGTCACAAGGCAGCCAACACCAACAAGTTCTAGTTTGTGCATCAAGTACCAAACAAACAATGTACCGGGACAATTTTTTTGTGACAAAATACATTGAGTACCAAATTCGAGGAGTTCCAAAGCAGTTGAGTACAAAGTACTGGTGTAACATATATTATACTATGTAATGGAACTAGAATGGGTGGTACATAAGTTTAATAAATTATCTGTTCACAACTGTGTGAAATTAGAGCTGCCAGTTCTGGTATGGGCTTTCGTATGCATCAAATTCTTTCAAAGAACCTAGAATGTCGTAATGTATCAGCATAATATATGTGTGGATCCAAGCAATCTGGCCTTTTGCAACTGACAAAGGGAATTTTGTTAATGTGCACATTTTCTAAGTGCCATCCAAGATTTTTTTAGTATGGTACCCAGTATACCAGCAACCCACTGAAACTACCACAGCCATCTCTCAATTTTGATTTTCAGCTCTCAATATCTCTCATGTTCTCCAGTTCTTTGTCTTATATTCTACATACCACATCAAGTATCCATACTTATATTCTACATATCACATCAAGTATCCATACTTTCAAGCTATTCATAGTCTCCAGTGCCCTACAGTTGATTGGCAGGTTTTTCAGGTACAGTGTTTTACCACTGAAATTAAAAATAAATAAATAAACAACAGATGAGGACAAGCAAAAATGACAACAAATTACAATTTGCTGAAGACATGTCAAACATAAGGTCTAAAATAATTCAGCAGATACTCGTTCCCTCATTTTTTGTACCTTGTTTTTTTTTTCTTTCAAAGCAGTGGAACCTGCAGATGGGCACAGACTGAAAGGATGAAGTACTCCTTTCTCCTTTAATTCCCTTAAAATTATTTTGAATTACACTTTTCAAAATTAAAATATTCAAACCAGAACTAGTACCAGTGTTTTTTCTATATGCATCTTTTCTCCTTTTACCTCTAGCCAACTCCATATTTTCTTTATCTACAATCTCATTTAAAAACTCAAATAAAAATATCCATTGCAAAAGAAAAGCCGTGTCCTTTTTGGGTATAAACGTGTGCTGACTTCTGGAATACTAGAACTTACATAGTTGAATGTTGCACAGTTCCAAAACATAAGGCGCACGTCAGACACCAGCTCTTCTGAAGAGGTATAATGCAGTTTGTCTATTTTTTTCTGAAGTTTTTTCCGAATGATGGACAAGTCCATGGGCTTTTTGATAATCTGATAATAATGGCGAGCCTGCAAATAATCCCATTAGCAAAATATTTGATAAATCCCATGATGCTAAATAATTCACAAACCAAATATTTCCTTAATATTTGTAATCAGTAATTCTAATAAAACCTCCAAGTTTTTCTGGTACCTATAGAAGCCCGTTACTTATGTACGTATTAGAATGAGGTCCCACTAGTTGATGTGGAGTTCAAGAGGGTGTCATGTTTTGAAACTAATTTTTATTGGGAGAAAAGAGCAAAATTATTAAATACATGACTACAGATTCATACTCATTCACTGAATTTTAATTCGATGTATAGTCAAAGTCAATAGAATAAAATTCAATTTACCTTTGTCATGACTGTGCTCCCTACTTTTAAGGAGAGCGGCCACACTCAATCCATTCAAAGCACGTGCAACCATTGACCTAAAATGTCTATGGAGACTCTCTGTCATCCAGGTCATGGTTGTCCCAAATATGCTTTTTTCAAGAGGCAACTGGCCTTCAGTTCTGACTAAATAAGCTGCTTGGATGAAAAGCTAAATGCCCTCAAGGGCGGGGGGAATGACTTCAGGGCCAGTTGCCTCTTGAAAAACATTGGAAAAACATTTGGAACATTGACCCAAAAGAACTGCCATGCTTAGCTTTTGACAATACTGACCATGTGAAATTTTAGCTATATATGTTTTTTTAAAGCAACATTTTAAACATTTCCTCTGCACCTCTTCAGGAGAGATAGCAGGGATGAGAAAGAATAGCAACTTTAAAACTCTTCAGCAAAGCACCAATAGAAAAATCAGGCTGAACCAATCAATGTAATGAATATCTTATAACACCTAAGAGAAAAAACTTTAAAAAGCTATGACTGCCTGCTTTTTCTGGAATGGCAGATTGGCTGGCATGGCTTATTGACAAAATTAGCCTTTTCTGTGAATGATGGATCATGTATTGCTCGTGGAACAATTTCAAAAAAGTGATGATTATTATTTAATAGAATAGCCCGTTCTCTAACATAGCAACACTTTCTCCTTTCAAAAGAAATGCCCTTAAATAAATTATAACATAAACAATAAAGCAATTATTCCTCAAGTAGGCAGAATGTATAGAAGTTGTCAAATTTACTGGCCAAATACAGGTAGTCCTTGATTTACAACAGTTCACTTAGTGACTGTTCAAAGTTACAATGGCACTAAAAAAGTGACTTATAACCATTTTTCAGACTTATGACTGTTGCAGCATCCCCATGGTTACGTGATTTACATTCAGATGCTTGATAACTGATTCACATTTATGACGGTTGCAGTGTCCCTGGGTCAGGTGATCACCTTTTGCAATCTTTTTGACAAGCAAAGTCAATGGGGAAATTAGATTCACTTAACAACCAGGTTACTAATTTAACAACTGCAGTGATTCACTTAACAAATGTGGCTAGCAAAAGTTGTAAAATGGGGCAAAGCTGACTTAACAAATATCTCATTTAACAACATAAATTTTGGAGTCAATTGTGGTCGTAAATTGAGGACTACCTGTATTGTATTCATGTCAATATTAAAGAGCACATTGTACCTCCCTTCCCTTCTTTCCTTTGTACATGTAGTATATGGAAAGAAAGCTGGAATAGTGTTTCAAAGTCCATTGAATCTCTAATCTGCCTTCACATTTTTTTTGTTTACAAATCTACCAACTAACTCAATTACAAGATTAGATCAATTTCTAACATAATTGGCAATTTTGTTGAAATAGGTCTGCTCATTTAATTGATAAAAGTATTTTCATTATAGAAAGCAAAGACAAAAAAGACTGTACCCACTGAAAGGGGAAAAAAAGGTAATCATTGATAAGGTCCTACTGCCCAGAGAAGTTACTTCATTCTGTGTACTTACCAGAGGACTGACAGGTTCATGGAATGGAAGACTCAAGCTATTGCAGAACAGTGAAAGCACCAATTTTTCACACTTCTATAAAATATAAATCTACAATTAACTTATGTATATTAAATGGCTACATGAATATCTCTATGTTCTGTATAAATATTTATATTATACACAGACATTTGTATTTCTTAATATTCCTAGCTTCTCATAGTATAATTCTAAAACAGGTTGATCTCTATGCAGCTTAAAACAAATTATTGGCTAGCTTCCACTGTTTCCATTCTATTCTTTTAGTGTAATATCTCTAGTAAAATTCAGCACAATACAGTAATACAATTAATTTACTGTAACATACTCTGAATGGGATAGCCCTGACAAGGCATGAAGACCTGGTTGTTTCTCCAGGAGGCATTCAGGCCAGCTCTGCAGGTGTTGATTTGTATTTTTGTGATTGGGGGTTATTGTTTTAATTTTGGACATTGTGGATTATATGTTGGGGTTTGTGTTTTAATCTTTGTATACCACCCTGAATCACTATTATGAAATGATCATCCATACACATCATTTAAATAATACATTCCAAGTTAAAAATTAGTATCCTGTACATATTTTCCTTCTCTCCTTTCATTTCATAAAAAAGAGAAAAGCCAAAATAATTCAAAAACTGCTTAATTTATCTAGATAAAATTCAGTCCTATTGTAACTCAAATCTTAGAGCTCAGTTCTTCCCAGAAGCTCTTTCAGTGCTGTTTTCTGGGACATGCAAACTTACCGAAAATACATTGTTGGCAAAGAAGATAGATTTGTCATTAATATTGTTACCTGAACCTACCTTTTGGTCATATTCACCAAGGCTATAAACTGGTCTTGCTTGCATGAGTGTATTGTAGTCAAATCGTGTGTTTTCACAATCATAGACTACCTCTGGGTTTTCCACGTTACGACAAAGTGTGCACACCCATTCTCCTCTGCAGCACAAAAAAACAACATGCAGCTTTGAGCTACTGTACAGTTTTATTAAAATGGCAATGGTAGACAATGATTTAACCAACATTCCATTAGAATCAAGTGTCAAACTTGATTTCATTGAGGACTGCATCAGGGTTGTGTTTGACCTCGGGGGGATGAATGGACATGAATGGGGTAGGCGTGGCCAGGGTGTGTGTGGCCAGCTCAACATCCTGCAGCCCTCTGCCACAGTGGTGGGACTCAAAAACTTTTACTACCAGTTCTGTGGGCATGGCGTGGCTTGGTGGGCATGGCTTGGTGGGCGTGGCAGGGGAAGGATACTGTAAAATCTCCATTCCCTCCCCGCCCCACTAACCTGCTTTCCAGCTCCGTTCTCCTGTGCAGGGCAACAAAAGAAGACCCAGCCAATCAGCTGGGACTCAGGAGGCAGAGAATAGATGGGGTGGGGCCAGTCAGAGGTGATATTTGCCAGTTCTTCGAACTACTCAAAACTTCCGCTACTGGTTCTCCAGAACTGGTCAGAACTTGCTGAATACCACCTCCACTCTGCCAGCGAAAACAGCACCTGGGAGTGCTGCACGCGGCCCTCCTGAGCTCTATTTTTGCTGGCAGAAGGCTGTACGAGGCCGTCACAGCCAAAAACGGAACTCAGAATGGTCCCAGGCGGACCTCCTGAGCTCTTTTTTCGCTGCCAGAGACACTGCAGGCATGTTTCCTTCCTGTTTCCAGGGTAGTCCTGCAGGCCAGATCTAAGCACCCCGCGGGCTGCATCTGGCCCGTGGGCCTTGAGTTTGACACGCCTGCATTAGACTAAGAAATTCTTGATTTTTTAAAAATCTGAAATGCTAAATTAGAGAAGAATTTTCTTTTACTCATTACCCCTGGCAAAAAAAAATCCCATTGCAACAAATACTGCAGAAATCTCTATAAATTCTACATTCTTTAAGTTAATCTAATAAATTTAATAACATAAGAAAGGACAGGGGATAAACATAAACAGGATTCACAAACATCAGGAGCAAAGCAAAAAGTTACGATATTCTTTCAAACATACTTGTTTGTAGAAAGTTAGATTGAAAAAATACCCAAACCTGAAAAAATACCCAAACATCTTTTTGGTGTTTGTCAAGCTAGTTATCCTCAATGTTTGTCTTGTTTCTTCTCAAAAACAAAAATCCCATTGGAAACATTTATACTGTGTTAGATTTTTATATAATCCAAATTTAACATTGAATAAGTTCTTATTTATTCAAGATTTCAAAACAAACAAACAAAATAAGTAGGAAAGAGGCACTAAAAGTAACACATCAGTTCAAGGACAGATACTGAATTATTTGGGTATGTATGTTCTAAAGCAGCTCACTTGCAAAAATCTAGCCCCAAAGAAGAGAACAGATATTCCTAATTCTGTTATACTCACACAGGAAAACTAAGTAATGCAGGAACATGGCATGAGAGATGAAACACCTTCGGGCAGTAATCACAACACAAAAGTTCTCCTCCATTCAGGCAAACAGCACAAAAGTCTTCATTCTCAATAGGGTGATCTTCCTGAGGAAGCCCAGATTTCTTCACATTATTACTGAGCCTGTGATCTCCTGAAGGAAGTAACACCTGTTCACTCAGCTGGCTTGTGAGGATCCTGCTTTTCTCCAGCTTTTCTCCAAGTTTAGGATTCAGACTTTCAGATGAATGTCCTTGATTGACCTGTGACGAAAAGTGAAAATATTTCCACAAAAAGTGATTGATATACTGCAGAAGTTTAAGTATAGTACATTTCCTGTAGCAAATGTAATATATTAGTTTCTTTTGAAAACTGAATATTGGGAATGTCTCCTGAGGTTTCAACTGTTACATAATCTCCAGTTAATATTCATTATATAATTCATTAATTTTGCCCAGAGTTTAAATGACCTAACCAACATAGTCACCAGCTAATTATAAAGCTAAAATGTTTGCATCTGAATGGAAGTATACCTTATAAGTTAGACATATAAGCCCTTCCTTGTAGTCAATCTGGCCTTTTAATGAAAAAAGATTCCTTCCATTTAAAAGAGGGAAGGAGGTTCAATGAAGACACCCTAACAGAAGAAAAGGGACAGCGGGGGGGCAGGGGGGGGCGGGAGACAGAAGCAATGTTTGCCAATTTGTTCTTTTTCTCTGCAGTCTTCAGAACTGCTTCACATGCTAATCTGAAGAAGCCTCCATCTGGGACAAGGGGATAATAAGGGGTCCTGAAGGGAAATAAAATAGGAATATACCATAGGCTGAATGAAGTTTCAAATTGCACTCTGCTCAATGAAAGTTGCAATCCACCGATGATATTGTATTTTCATTAATTATGATTTTAAAGCTTTGCTTTATGGCATGATCACTCCTGCTGGCTTCTCCATTAACTCTGTTTGTTAGAAGACAGCAAAGAAGTCTCAAATGCCAATCACATGCCCATGAAACATTGCAATGTTATAATTGTGAGCCAGTTGCCAACTGTTTGAATTACAATCACGTGCCTGCAAAGATATTGCAACAGCCACAACTATGAGGACCTGCTGAAAGTCCCCCTTGTTCAACATTGTCATAATTTTGAATGGTTGTTAACTGAGTGGAATTAAAGGAGGACCTCCTACATTACTTGCGAAATATAAGCATGACAAATTGAGATGAACATATAATTATTATTCATAATAATTATTTATTTATACTTATTATTATTCATTACTCTCCGGCATTCCTGCAAGTAAAACCATAGCTTTATAAACTTTAAGTAAAGTAATTGCTTTATAATATTCAAGAGTGATATTACTTAAAATAAAATAAAATGTATATATTAATGAATATTAATGTAATAATTTCTTCAATGGCATAGCGGGTAAAGCCACTCAAAGAAAATAATAAAAAGAGTAAATACAGTAATATGTGGGTTCTACAATATTTTAATTTAAGCCACTTAACAATAACAATATTCTCAAAAGCATTGTATATCCCATCTAGCTCAGTGCATATGCAGAAAGAACAGTTATATATTTCACTTCCGTAGGTATTTGACACAAATGGAACTATGATTTTCAATGTTTGGTACACAATGTTTGAAAACTCTTTTTTTATTATTATTTAGTATGCTACTGTATACTGCTTCCATCTGTCAGCACCTACTCTTCCAAAAACATCACAACTTCTAATGAAAGAATACTTCCAAGTCAAGATCCATATGTAGCATTTATTTCTGAATATTTCTCCCATTAGGATATTCATTTTGATATTTGGGATATGTATTTACCTCAGAAAAATGGCTTCCCAGAAAAGCTACCCTCGTGCCCAAATTTAATGTTACTTAAGCATTAAAAATTGGGAGGATGTGATTATGAATCCTAGCTGTCTCTATACTTTGGCTCAAAGTATATCACCATAATCAAATTCACCATGATTATGGTTCTCAGTGAATGCTACTAAATGCATTTGAATAAAATGGAAAAAAACAAGTTAATGCAGATAAATTAAATTTACCTTAATAGCCATGCTTGAAGACTGAGTACCACATTCAATAATCAACAGAAATGTCCCATCATGTGTACTTTTTTGTGGCTGCAATTTAAAAATTGGAAGCTCTCCAGATTCTGATGTGCATATTTTCAATCGTTCCAATCGCACATATGGGATTTTCACCTCTTTGGCACAAATTCTAAAAAGTGTTAAATAGTGAATCAGTGCTATGGATCATTCCTCTATCTTACCTTTACCATTTTAACACAATTTGGCAAACTAAGTCAAAATATTGCATTTTGTTAATATTTAAATCAATACTAATGTTTTAACAATTTTAATTTTAAAAAATTAAAATATTTTAACATTGTTTTTATTAATTAATCTTATATTTCCACACTATCATTTCTACTTTAACTTCAACAGATTCCCCTATACAATAGTAAGCTGTTTCCACATTTCCTCAAATAATTTTTATAACTGATTCCATATATTAGTAATTTTGGAATGATGTCTAGGCATTTTAGAAAAAAGGCAATATAAATATATTAGATATTATGATTTCTTATGATGCATATAAAGGAAATATCTGATTTTAAAAGACATATACAATTGTTTCAAAATTAGATAAACTAAAGTGAAAAATGGATTTATGTAATTATAGTCATGTTATAATTTCTGCAGGATATATAATTCCTTTGATGTATTGAGTCATTTATGCCACTCCTATCTTATTAGGTATGGTACTACTTAAACATAATAGCTAGTTATATTAGTATTCATATCTGCAGTTTTACAGACAAATTTACAGTTTTCCATTTACTATATAATTTGGATTAATTTATGTTTCATACATTTTTCTCATCTAGAATTGCTTCATTCTATCTCGATTATTTCAACAATCCATTAATTCCAATTTACATACTTTCTAAATGAAAAAAAATATTCATTGCTTGAAATGAGCCTTAAAGCTTCCATTAATTCTGATTACCTGTTGTTCTGACTACTTTTAATTTCCTTTTCAAAATGTTCTTCTTCATAGTTAGGACAATCTACAAGAAATAAAATGAGTAAAATAACACAAAAGCTACCTTGATTAAAAGGGAGAGATATTTTTTTAGCATCCAAAATACAGACCTACAGTAAATTTCTCACAGAAGTACAGGTAGTTTTCAACTTCAATTCGTTTAATGCTGGTTTGAAGCTACGATGATACTGAAAAAAATGACATACAGCACATCCTTGAAGTTACAACTGTTGCACCCCCCCCCCCCCCGTTATTATAATTCAGACACTTGGCAACCGGCTCACATTTATGACAGTTGCAGTATCTTGTGATTACATGATTGCAATTTGTGATTTTTCCAGCCAACTTGTAACAAGTAAAATCTGTGTGTGTGTGTGTGTGTGTGTGTGTGTGTGTGTGTGTGTGTGTGTGATTTGCTTAATAATGATGTGATTTGTTTAATGACCATGTGGTTTGCTTAATGAGTCAGTTAATGGCTGCAATAAAAATTGTTGTAATCATGTCTGGTCACATGATTGCATCACTTAGTAACCAAAATTCTAGTCCCAATTTTCATAAATTTAGGAATATCTGTACTTTAATTTCAGTCAAAATCACTAAGATTTGCTCCAATGGAATCCACTGGAACATGAACAGATGTATTCCACAGAATTTCTTATTGTTGTCTCAAAATATTTCTTAGTTCAAAAGACATGGACAAGGAATTTATTGCACTGCATAGAAAAAGTTGCATTCAGGGCAAAAATAGCTACATTATGACGATGATGTGCAGATAACATGAATATCAGAAGCTGTAATTCTGGAGCTATTTTTAAAGTATCTCACATTTACTGAACTTAGGTTGGTATTCATATCCTTAATTTATTCCTTCCATAGTCCATTAACAGAAAAATCATGTAGGAAGAGAGAATTCATGGCAGGACAATTTCCAATGCTTCTTGAATCGATGTTCCAAGAACCATAAAACAGGAGGGTGAGTTTTTGCCTCAAACTTTATTCATAGTTTGCTTTTGACACTTACAACAGCTCCAGGGATGACATAGTTTTCTCCAAATACAGGAAGATACTGAGAAATAAGGGGCTTTGTATCCAGCAGATACAGACTCTGTTCTAATCTGTCACTCAGGTGATCTTTTTAGTCTCTCACACAACTATATTGGTGGAGCTCATCCCTGGAAGTCAAAGGGAATTTGAAGTTTTCTTTCCTGTCAGCATGCAAATTTCTATATTCATTTTTAAGAAAACTTAGAATATCTATGATTCTTGAAACTCTTAGGGATTACAGAATTGTATTCTAACACATGGGGCAGGAAAGTCTAGAAGAAAATGTTCTTGGACTCTTATTAATATAGAGGTGGCTTTGTTTTTCTTTATACTTATGAATCTACTTTTGTGTTTTCCTAGGGAAGGGGGCATTGCTAATCTTATTTATAATACTGACCATCATTAAGTGTCAATATGGTGACCTCAGAGAATAAATGCTTTTTACAAAAATCTTTATTAATAAAGCAACATTACAAAAATTAAAGATACAATTAACATATAACATCTAAAAATAGGCTGATCTATTCACAAAGTTTCCCTACTTTTGACCTGACACAAGTCTAAAATCTTATCAACTCTCAATTATGAATCTTAAATTCATAAAGCTATTATCTGAGAGCACAAGTCCTCCACTGGCAACGTTAGTGGCTGGAGGAAGCTAGGAGCTTGGTGGTTTTCCAACGGCCTTTGCTGTCAGCAAGGAGCACTGCTGGGGTGAGATCCAACCACGGTGAAGACCTTTATTGCATTCAAGCAGGCGGAAATCTGTTGGTAGTTCTCCTTCCGGCAGTAGTCAGCAGGAAGCCACAAAATGGGTGTTCTGGGGTGGGGGCATGGAAGAGTCAGTTTTAGATCTACTGGATCCAAAGCTATCCTATTCCCTCAAATGGACCTAATTAGTCCTATCAGCTATACCAACCCTGGAGTTGCCAGAAATAATAGCCCCCCGCCTAAATGGGAAAGAAGAATGCTATAAATTTGAAGATTCCGTGGGGCAAAAAAGCTAAAGAAAAAAAATTGTTCTGTCTGAGACAAGCCAACAGAGCTTGAGATATAGCAGAATTCAAAAGCTATTTCATTCTGAAAGAATTGTGATCTATAATTGCCATCAATGGTATCCTTGTATAGAAAATACATATATCCTAATTCGGATGTACTAGAATCTGAATGATAGTTGGCAGATCTGTTGAAAATGATTGTTCATCCTACAAAGTTACATCACTTTTACCTTCTGTAAACTGGCCTTGCAGTACCAGTTAATCACAATGAACAAAATATGCAAAGGTGCATATGTCAAGTGACGGTGATAGTATCTGGATATCATTCTTGAATAGCCAAACTCCCTGCTACCTTTTCTACCTTAATGCATAATAAACTCTTCTCTGCTATTTCTCTTCTGAGTAGTACAACAATAATGATAACATTTAAAATTGTACTGTATCAATTTTATTTATTATGTTATCAGGCTCATTCAAATTAACAGATCTCTAATATTAAATCAAGCCTAGACAAATATTATATTTTTATGTATTATTAGCCAGGAAGTTGTTCCATGTTTACTAAAGGCCAGTATAGTGAACATTAATAGAAAACATGGGACAGTTACCTAAATCATAATTTAATTAATGGTTTCTCATTACAAAACATTTGTATTTTCAGCAGCAAATCTTGAAATAATTATGCTATGCAATATATGATTTTGAACATCCATGAAATATAAAGAAAAAATAATCTGGTACCTTCAGTGTGTCCTGGTTTGGGATTAACAGACTGCATGAAGGTTGTGTTGCTGATAAGTAAGGGAGGGGAGGTACATGGCTGAGTTTTCTTCACTGAGAGATTAATGGGCTCCTCCAGAATATTTTGTAAAGGAAGAGCCATTTCATTCATGCCTTTTGATTCCGCAGTGACAATATTGCTCCCAAGAGGATAACTCACATGGCTAAACTCTTCATTTTCCAGCTGATAATTGAAGGGGGAAAAGAGTGATTTGCAAAATATTTTAATACATCAAAAAAATGATCAATAGAAAAGCAGAATTATTTTATTCCGTATCAGGGTGCTTCATTCTGAGGGGCACACAAAGCATGAGTTCAAATAATTTAAGATCTTTGAATAACATATCTACAACAAATTTTCACAAATTTCTCAACATCCTATCATATATATAGGCTCACTCTATGTGGCAATGGCAAATTACTTCTATAACGCTGCCAATAAAATTCCTTGGAACTCCTTCATGAAAATCCAAAGTCTAATTTTTCTTGAAGGAGATTTTAACCTTTTGCCATAAGAACAGAAAAGTCACGCATGGATTCCAAGGTGGTCTCTAAGTCAAGAAATAAGACACTCTTGGCAGGAATTTGATCTGCATAGAAGCTTTTGAACTGGGTTTATACAAAAGGCACATCGAGTACTGAACTTCCAGATAATTTAAATGAGGCCTGCATAAAAATACTGCCACAATTTTTCAGGTTCCAGTTCTGTGGTGGTTTATGAAATAAACTAGAATGACCATTCTTGTGATTTTTTTGACCCCATATCAAATGATTATCTGATGGATCAACTGTTCTTACCTTGCAAACTGGGTTTACCAAAGGCATGCCACCAATTGCTAAGTGTTCTATATTTTCAGAACTCAGGGTCCTCGTTCTATCCAAGGACATATTGTAAGTAGATATCGATTCAGGAAGCATTTCAGAGACATGCGGTACATTCTGGGACAGGTTAGGTGTTGCACTGCAGATTTCTTTTGCCTGTGAATCAGCTTGTCTGGGTGCCCTTGTCGAAGACAAGTCAACTTCTAAAATGTTTGGAAAACCCACTATGTTCATTGAAGCTGACCGCTAGGAGGAAGAAAAAAAGATCATAGGAAGCTCAGTATTCATTGCAACATTAATTTTTTCACTAGGAAGGTTTTTGTAGCTTGATTGCAATATTACAATATTTAATTGTTTTATCTTGTCTAACACCATTCTGAATGCTTATTATAACAATGGTCTGTCTATTTTAAATGTTTGAATCCACTAAAAGGTTCCTCAATTATCAAACAACATATGTGTTTTCTTAAAATGCCTGCATTCATTCATTCATAGATGGACAATGACCTAACAGAAAAGACCTTTTGTCATCTCATTTAAAAGTAGAAAATGCTTCTTTTTTGAAATTATCCATACTTAAAACCCTCAGATATAAAATTTAAAAGCAAACTGAATGGCTTTTCATGATTAATTCAGTTAATAAGTTTTCAAGTATGTAAACCTCAAGCAAATTTTACAAAATTAATTGTTATGATTTTTCATTGAGTTATATTTTGATTTATTTTATATATAAGGAAAGAAAGGAGTTTTTTCCTGTTATATACAAATGTTATTTTTTTCCTATGATAAGAGTTATAGCATTTTGGCTAATCTATTGGCTGGTGGAATTTTCATACATTGTGGCTTCTGAAAAAAAGTCTTCCCAACTGGAGATTCCATATTTGGGAAATCAAGATATTAGAGCTTCCAAGTGCTAGAATCAGAATTTTAAGAATCTCCAAATATCCCAAAATTTGGAGACTCTCATGTGACTGAACCATTCCCTGACTACTGTATGTATTATTGGGTGGAAGTGCTAATCACTCATCTTTGATTGGCTCCAAAATTGTCATGTCTTCCCTGCCAAACCCTGTCCTGCTTCCTGGTTTGGATGACTTCTAAATCGCTACAAAATATTACTGTTAATAACCAATAATAAAAACCAATAATAATACTTTGAGGATACGTCATTCACAAACAAAATTATTGGTTGCTTTCCTCTGACTTGCTACCCATTCCAGCATACCACCAGCCAGTGGGAAAACATCACTGTGCCATCTCTAATTTCAGGCCTCTCCCATGATCTATTTTCCCTAGCTTGGGTTGATGGACCCTCCTCCCACAGCTCACCTGGGCATCTCCCAAGTTGAAATAACAAACACATGGGAAGGCATCAGGACAGAAATTGCTCCAGAAAAGATAGAAAACTGGTTGTATAACTAACATAGAAGAACTAAAACTGATTTGCTAGTGGGAAATAGATTTCTTCCTTTAAGGAGAGGGAAGAAGGTACAGAACATGGCAAATAAAAGGAAACTAGCAAGGAAGTAAACCCTTACTTTTCCCCCCAAATAAAATAGGGAAGATGAATGATGCTTTGTCTTGTTAAACGACTGGAGAAAAAATGATGTCAAAAGCAAAGAGACGAGTAGTTACAGATCTAGAACTAATTTTGGGATATAAAGTGCTAATAAGACAAAGGCTGAGGGAGAAATGGACAAAATGAATGCTGGCTAGTGACAAGAGAAGAGGTATAATCCTTGCCTCTGTACATTTCAAAAATACGACTCAGGCCACATCCACCCAAGATATCAGGATGATAAACTATAAAGATTTTTTACACACTAGGGCTGTCCTTGGTGTTGAAAAGTGAGGAAATATTTCTTTGTTACTGGTACAGCTAATTATACCTTCAGCTAGTCTCATCCATGAATGAGATCAGGGCAACATCTTGGAGACAAATAAGGACAGTGTCACTGTTATGGTATTGTGACTACGAATAGGAATTTGGGAAAGATTTGGTACTTAGACCTCAAATTACCAATAACATTAAAGAATTTAAATTCTTTTAGTAGCATAGTTACATGGAAAATATAACTCCTTAAGTCAATATAAAATTTTAATCTTACTAAAAGAAGGAAGGAAAACTAGCAGGGATATAGGAAATGAAGCTATCATGTCACCTAGTTCTCTCTGGACTAAAGGTTAATTTTCTGATATCAATAATGAAGAAACTACGCAATGCCCAATAAAATGTGTATATGGAATGGTGTACCTATGTGTATGTGTGTGCCTACTTATCTAAGATCCCAGCAAGATCTGATGCATTTTCATGCTGATTCACAAAGCTACTGTCAAGGATACAATAAAAATGTATTGGGAGTAAGGTTCATTAAGTCCAATTAATTATCTCTTTAAAATGATCATTCCTTTTTCCATTAGTGGAGGAAAGGGAGAGGAATCGTCCCCCTGTGGTTTTTACTGCCCTAAATTATGATACTTCCATCCTATTTTTATGTTGTCTAAAAAGATTTAATATCTCACCCTTCAACATCACAAACGTTCATGTCATGTGCTTTTGTGCTGCAACTTGTGCTATCAATTCATTTGACTTGATATATTATATATTGCGCACACTTCTGTTTACAGCCTCACATATATTCTGCAGTTTGCTTGCTTTTCTCAATCCTTATGTGTTCATTTGTTACTCATTCTCATTTGTTTCCACACATGTAGTGAAAGAACATCTCACTTCTATATTTCTCCTTAGACAAACATATAAATTGCAGGAGCATCTGAAATGATGCTCTTTATCTAAGATGAAAATGATTAATTATTACCCTAATGAAAAAAGTGTTTATTTTCCTACATTTGCTTTCATGTTTACTGTGTGGGTTTTAATATTGTAGGTGCCAGTGTTTTCACTGTCTTTATTCCATACATTTAATGTCAGCCTTATATAGAAAAATTAGGATATGATAATATTAATGGCATGAAAGTGAAGAAAATATTGACTTTCTTGTTTTTACAGTATCAGGAACAGCTACAGCACAAACTGGATAGAGAAATGACAGCTGTTAATAAAAAAAACAGGTTTTGGATTTGCTAAAATGGCATAGAATCTTTGCAATTGCAGAGAAATTACTGAGAATGGCTACAAAGTAATAAAAGATGCAGTTAAGTAGAACAACATCTTGGCAACTCCTTTATGCTGTAAACTTAAACAAATGCAGTAATTCAAATCAAGTTAGCTCAAGTTTAACTCAGAGTGACCAGAAACCTATACCTGATTTTAAATGAATTGTTCCTGATCAAAAGACTCTCCTGTTTACACGAGAAGGAACATAAAGTCAGCTCTGTATTCTGTAAAAATTCATCCTGAGCAAATTGAGTTGGCTTAATATCACAGAAATAGTCAGCAAAACACATAGAACTGTATATTATTTATATTCCTTTCAAATCAATAAAAATAACATTTTTTTTATTGTTAATAACAATAAAAATAAATGATTTGACAATTGTCTCCCCTAAAAAAAAACAGAAAGGGTGAGGAGAGATGATGAGTTGGCCTTCTCTAATGCTCCAAGATACATAGGGTGCTTAGAGCCCAAAGGCTCTGATCCTTGCCTATTTCCACTGATCTATCTACCTCCATGACATTTGTGGTACACTGGCATCATGCCCCCATTTCTAACATTTAGGACTGCCAACTGACCTAAAACAAGGGGAAAAAAACTAAGCAACCTTTCTGCAAAGTTCAAACCAGCTTGCCTGTTCAAACACATGGTCAGGAAGACAAAAGATAGTTGCTAGGCATATACTGAGAGATGGATAGCATAGCTTCTCACAAGACATGATCTGAAAGGAACAACTTGGCTGATGCTGAATACTTACTCCATCCTGAGTGTTTGATTAGTAACAGAATTACTCTTTTGTGCTATCATATAATCAATCATTTTAAGTGAATTCCAAATGTAGAAGTGCTTTGGATAGCAAGGTGGATGGTATATGCACTTACATCAATAAATGTATAAATAAATGTATAAATAAATACATAAATAAATAAAGTAATACTTATTTATAAATTGCCCTGCCTTTACGTATAATTAAGAGAAGTAAACAACAGAAGTAAACCTACCAAATTAAATCTATGATAGAAACAAAACTGTTTAAATGTCAAAAGACTCTAGGATAAAAGGTATCTTTAGGAGATCACTACCTGCATTCTGGTTTTATTAGAATAAACAGCTTGAAAACGTGGTAAAGTTACTCTGACAAAGCTGTAAGCTTATGTCAGGTGCATATTTAGCAGTGCAGCAAGGTTTAGGATTTAGCCACGAATGACTACAATCATCAACAAATTTTGAAACCTTACATCCACAGTAGTGCCAAAACTTTTTGTTATAAATTGGATAAAATTGAATCTTATAATCCCAGGTTTCTAGTACTCAGGGAGGAAGGAGGGAAAGAGGAAGACTCCAAAAGTTCTATATTTGAATTGGTTTTTATGCTGGTTTCACAATGAAATGGATGAATAAACAACACAAGAGACATGTGGCAAGAATTCCGCAATGGAATATGGATCACCTGCACTGGTTGCAAAAGCTTGACAGAGCCTCCACATATGGCATTATATTGTAGATTTTAAATGTAGAATAAATAAATAAATGCACATTGAAAGATTACATGTAGCCTTTTCTTTTTCGCAGAAAATAACAACATGCATTGGTTTACTGCATCATAAAAAACATCCTGGAAAGGACACATTTTACTAAAAGGACCAAGATAAAGTATGAAATTACACATTTTATTGTAATTAATTTAAATTGCTCTGAGAATCCCTGTTGCTATCTAAATATTTGTTTTTCCTAAGCCCCAGACAAGTATTGCTGTTACTTGCTCATTCTGAGATGGTGCTCAATTTTCAGTTTAAAGATTTCTCAGACAGTCATAATCATGTACAGATGGTCTTCATATGACACTGTACTTGCACATATACTGGTCATATTTTTCCTACTATAGTAGTTATTTCAGATAGAATTTTTATAAGAGTGAAGTGAAGCCATTAATATTATTGTTGCCCTAATATGAGATACCCAAATGATTAGTGTTTGCATGTGTGGTAAGCTTAAGGTGAAGCTTAAAATGAAAGTTGAGTAGTATTGCTATTGGGCTCATTTGATGTTTTGCGTTCTTAATAGGTCACAAGTCATGTATATGACACTTATGTCATCACAGCAATTGCAAACAAAGTACAAATAATTATC